AGCTTCAAGTTAGACCGCATTAAATTGGCTGCTCTCATGCAGGTGAGAAAACCTGGAGGAATATCGGATTCGTTTCAGATGAAGAGAACCCTGTCCTAATAAAATCAAGATCCTAATGCTAGCCAAGAATATATATATATTTATTTATTTTGCAACTTCTGCGTGTAAACGGCGGAGGGAAAGAGATCTTCGTTATAAATGAAAAAGGGAGAAAACCAACTGGGAATTTTACATGCTGAATCATTCATGCTTTTATTAACTAGTAAAATTATCAAGGCATACCAATGGTCCATTCATAATAACCAAAAGGCAACATGAAAACGAAAATGACAGGAACGTCTTGGAGAAGGTCAATTACAAGAACACAACGAGCATCCTAAAAGTTTAATCCACAGACCAAACTCCCTGGCTAAACCAAAGTGGAACGATACTGTTCATTCATTCTTTCTAGAATCTTTAAGCTGTCCTCTCTTTCGAATCCTAAGGCAAAAACCTAGTCGCCAGGAATCAACAGCTGATTCTGGCAACAATTGTATCAAACCCCAAAGAAGGGAATGGGGCCAGTAAGGTGTGCAGCGAGGTTCATAGCCTATAGCACGCAGACCTGCTCGGGCATAACTGTCTGATGAAGGAACCCAAAAGGAAGATCTCTTTATTGATGCCATCTTTGTTGCAACGTAAAGGGGAACCTGCATCAAGAAATCCCTTGGTTGATCGAAGAAGCATGAAACAAAGGAAAAAAGTGTGTGTGTGTGTTATCCACTCTGGCAACACAGTTCTGATGCTCAAACCAAACCTGATAATAAGCAGAACATGTTCATCATCCTGTGTCGACTAAGATCTGACAATTATACTGAAGATATTTATGCAAATCAAGAGACTAAAAAATGAAGATATTTATGCAAATCAAGGACTAAAACTCAGGATGTTGGACCTCCATCTCTCTTGATAAGCACAAAAGGAAAAACTTCTATTTACAAGATGAGTGGTATAATCAGGAAGAAGGACACACAGTTCACAAACAACAGATAGGCAAGGCTTGGTGATTCAAATACTCAAAGCTAAAGCCTTCTCAGTTATCAAAGTCAGGAATGGTTTGCTAGACGAGTAGCTCTGTTGCATATGAGGTAGCTGCACCATTGATTTTACTACTTGCCTAAATGACATCTATTTGGTTAATTTCTCCAACAAGCATTTAGGTGTGGGTTTTTCTGTATGCTTCAGTGTTTATGATTCTTCCCACTGGAGCTGTCAATGTTACATCGCCTTTATATTTCCTTACCTTGTCACTTGCCAACTTGAAGTTATAAAACATGTATTCAATTAGTAGCAAGTTCTAGTATCATCTCACATCTAAAACTCTAAATCATCTATGCTTCTCTCACTAGTCATACTAGCCAATTCAGACAAATGGGTAGAATAGAGGGAGAAATTCAAAAAGACACGAGTAAGAGAACCAAAAGAAGGAAAAAGATGATGAGCATTATTGGATAAAAAATACAATTAGCATGTCATAGTGCATTTCACCAAATATAACACAAACACATATGATGCTCACTGTGATATCCACGGCTTTATTGATTGTAGTAGATTGCCTTGTTAAAAACTGTATAAGTTCATCACTTCATCTTATGCTGATTATGGTAGGTAAATTATTTAGGTTTGTAACACTTGAGGATTCGGTAGGGCCAATTATCACTTAGAGACAGAAGAAAGTTGTTAAAACCATTATGTGCACGAAAGCTTCCTGTGTTTATCAATAAATCTGTTATGAAAACGAAAGAAAGATAGCCTCTACCTAACAAAATATATTAGCAAATTCAGTCATGAACTTTCTTGCTGACTGAATAAATCACTTGCTTGCACAGAAGAAATAAGATACATCCTATCCAGATTTCTAATAAGCATATCATAATTTATTATATTGAGTGTCCTCTGTTATTGAAAAAACATCTGTTGGGGTAACGACAGACCATACATAAAATCATTTCCCAATCATGGCCAGTAGCTTATCGCACTGCACATGCAGCTATTCCCTATCTATCAATTCATGTTTCTGAGTTTAATAATTACTTTAAATGGCGAAATACAGATAAAGATTACTTTTCTCATTGCCTTTAATAAAGAGCAGAACTCTGATTAACGCAACTAGAAAGAAAATCTCACCACCATCTATGGTTGAAAGTTTACTCAAATACTGTATCTATATTCGAAATTCCAGATGCGAAAATCATATAAGCAAACTCATTATGACATAGTCACAGTTTGACCAGAACATCAACATAAACTAAATCTATCACATAAAGATCAGGATAAGTATTGAAAGTAACAGAGTAGTGTAGAATGAAGAAGCACGGTACCTGACACTGCACATCAATCCCACTTTTCTTGTATTCAACATAAAGGCACCTTGAGAACTGATCGATGTACCTGATAACATACACAAAATAAATAAATAAACTAACATGAACCTACTGCAAATCTCCAGGAATTAAAACCTTACAAGTAAATCACTAGGACATAAAAAAAAAAGGTCTTACGCTTTAGTAGCAGCATAAACAGCATAAAGAGGATCAGAAGGGATTACAATGGCAGCTCCAGAACCAATATTAACAATAGCACCTTTCTTCCTCTTCAACATCCCTGGCAGAACAGCTTGTGTAACTTTAGTAGTACCTTCAACATTCACTTTAATCAAATGCTTCAACAGCTCCTCGTCAACCTCATGAAAGAACCTGGCATAAGGATAAGATACCCCGACATTATTAATCAAGATACCAACATCCAATCCTTCAACAGTCTCCTTAATCTTTTGAACACCCTCGTCAATATCGCCACTGAAATCAACAACAACGTTCTTGATTTGGACATTACTGTATTTGGATTGAATTGAAGTCGACACATCTTTGAGTTTATCGGGATTTCTGCCCACCAAGATTAGATTGAGACCCTTTCGAGCCAATTGGAAAGCGAATCCTTTGCCAATACCGTCAGTGGGTCCAGTAACGAGAGCCCATGATCCGTATTTCTTGAGATTCTTGGCAGGTCTGAGGAAACTAGCGTAGACCCATTTGAGAGTAGCGAAAAGGAACTTCAGAAATGAAAGAGAACCCAGAGTGAAGAGCACAAGAAGCCAGGAAGGCTGAGACTTGAGTTCATCAACGAAACAGAGACTCATCTTTTACTTTTTGTTTTGGATCTGAGAAGCGGGTCTTGAGGAACACTTAAAAAATGCTTTGAAGAAGGGAAAAGCTAAGCTTCTGCTAATATTAATAGTGTAGACTTTTGGATAGAAAGTGAAGATTACAAGGAAAGCACAGGATAGGGAGAGTTGGGAAAATCGAATGGGAGATCTATGTTAGGCGAAAGCAGGTAGAAGGACAGTGGACTATTTAATGAAATTTGATGGAGAGATAGAGAAGGACAGAGAGGTGGCCATGGAGTGGTGAAGTAGATGATCTGAAAACCACCGCATTTAACTACTATACGGCGACAGCCATGACAGTTTAGATTGAATAACAGTTATAATAACAATATTAAAGTTTTTTTTTTAAAAAAAAAATCCGTTAACAATATTCACCAATTATCACTTATATTAATACTTTAAAAATCGTGAGAAAAGTTTTGTATCTTTCCTCGTATCTTTTAACTTTTCTTATTATTAATATATTATTATTATATTATATTATATTATATTATAACATTTCCTAAAAAATATGTAGCTGTCCTTTTAAAAAAAATTAATGAATTTTTTTATTTAATTTAGTTTATTAATATTAATTTTTTAATTTATTATTAGATTTTCATGATATGGATCTCAGGTTTAATGGATTAATTTGGTTTGATTGGTTAACCTAATTTTTTTTTTAATTAATTTTTTTTGTTTAGTTTAATTTATTAATGTTATTTTTTTTTATTTAATTATCAGACTTTCATGACACGTATCTTGGATTTGACGAGTTAACCTAGTTAATTCTGGGTAAACTCATTAATTTTTTTATTTAATTATCAAACTTTTATGACTTGCATCCCATGTTTGATGGATTAATCTGGTTTAAAATGTTAACCCAGTTAATTTAATTTTTTTTCTTTTTCATCATTAGTTTTTTTCCTATTGTTTTTTTTTTAATTTTTTTAATTAATCTATTTAATTATCATACTTTTATGATACGACCTTATAACCAGATTCACATCCAATGCTCTTGGGTCCGGTGTTGCAACCAGACTCACTTAAACTTAAGTTATGTAATAGAAAGACCTAACACTCTTAGATCTTAACCTTTTTTGATATTTTTTATTCAAGAAAAAAACTAACTCATAATGTATGCCTTTGTTTTTTTTCCTTTTCCTATTTCTTTTTAAGTCTTTTATTGTGGACTACACGGTGCAGTCCATAATACAAAACCTTATGCTTTTAATTTATTTATTTTTATCTATAGTTTCTTAATATTAAGTTTTTTGTTTAATTACTAGGCTTTCATGATACGGATCACAAGTTTGATGGTTTAATCCAATTGATTCAGATTTTTTTCTTTTTCTTCATTAGTTTTTTTCTTCCTGTAGGTTTTTTGCTCTTTGCTCTTTTCTTTTTAATTAATTTTTTTTTAAATTAGTTCATTAATATTAAAAAAAATTTCTATTTAGTTATCACACTTTCATAACACGAATACCAGGTCATATAAGTTTAATATTATTATTAATATTGTAAATATTACTCTTATATCAGACTTTGCAGCCAAACCTAAAACTCTTGGGTATAATTTTGTAAAAAGATCTAATACTTTTAGATCTTAATTTTTTTTGATATTTTTTATACAAAAAAAATTGATTGGCGGCTTCGCGCGAGTTATGTAACTACTCAATACTTTAAAAGGCATCGGAAAAATACTATAACTTTCCCCACGCCTTTTATGTTCATGATATTAATATTTTAATTCCTGGAGCTTTTTTTTCTCATTTTTTTATGCCTTTCATTTTTTTCTTTTTTTTCTTTTAATTAATTTTTTAATGTTAAATTTTTTATTTAATTATCAAATTTTCATGACATGGATCTCAGGTTTGATGGTTTAACCTGGTTTGAAGAGTTAACCTAGGATTACTTTTTCTTTTTGCTTTTTTTGTTTTAATTAAATGTTTTCATTTAGTTTAGTTTGTTAACGTTGAATTTCTTTCTATTTAATTATCAAATTTTCAAGAAACGTATCCCGAGTTTAACGGGTTAACCCAGTTAATTATGGGTTAACCCGTCAATTTTTTTTCTATTTAGTTATCAGACTTTTATGACACGAATCCGAGGTTTGAAGGGTTAACCCAGTTAATTCAATTTTTTTTTCTTTTTCTTCATGTAGGTTTTTCTTTATTTTTTTGTTTTAATTAATCTATTTAATTATCACACTTTTATAATACGACCTTACAACCGGATCCACATCCAGGGCTCTTGGATCTGATGTTGCAACCAGACTCACTTAAACTTGAGTAATGTAAGTTTAAAATTATTATTAATATTGTAAATATTACTCTTGGATCAAGTTTTGCAGCTAAACCCAAGGTTTTTAGGTATATTTTTACAGAAAGATCTAATACTCTTAGATCTTAGCTATTTTTGATATTTTTTATGCAAGAAAAAAAATTAACCTATGGCGTATGCTTTTGTTTTTTTTTTTTTCATTTTTGATCCTTCTTATTTTTTTTTATTGTGGATTGCATAGTGCAATCCATAGTAAAAAAAGTTGATACCTTTAGTTTTTTTTTGTTTCTTTGTTTTTTTTTTTACTTTAGTTTCTTAATATTAAATTTTTTTATTTAATTATCAGACATTTATGATATGGATCCCAGATTTGACGGGTTAATCTGGTTTGATGGATTAACCTAGTTGATTCAATTTTTTTTCTTTTTCTTCATTAGGTTTTTTCTTCCAATTTCATCTTTTAATATTATATGCAATCCATAGTGAAAAAGTTAATGTCTTTAGTTTTTTTTTCTTTTTATGTCTTTTACGTGCAATCCACGATTAAAAGGTTAATGCCTTCTTTTTCTTTCTTTTTAATTTAATTTGTTAATTTTAATTTTTTTCTATTTAGTTATCAGATTTTTATGATATATATTTTTTGTTTAATGAGTTGACTCAGTTAATTCAATTTTTTTTCTTCATTAGTTTTTTTCTTCTTATATGTTTTTCCCCTTTTGAATTATTTTTTTATTTAGTTTGTTGATATTAATTTTTTTTTATTTAGTTATCAAGCTTTCATGACACGAATCTTAGATTTGATGAGTTAACCTAGTTAATTTAGATTTTTTGTCTTTTTCTTCATTAATTTTTTTCTTCCTATAGGTTTTTCTTCTGTGTTTTTTCTTTTTCATTAACTTTTTTGTTTAATTTAGTTCATTAATATTAAAAAAAATTTCTATTTCATTATCACATTCTCATGACATGAATCTCAAGTTTGATAGGTTAACCTGATTTGACAGGTTAATCCAGTTGATTCAAATTTTTGTCTTTTTTTTATTAGTTTTTTTCTTCTAATTTTATCTTTTAACATTGTAACTATAACCAAAAGAAATACCTTTCATTGTGGATTGCACTGTGCAAATTCACAGTGAAAGGTAGATATCTTTTAGTTATAGGTTTTTTCCTATTGTTTTATTTGTGATGTTTTTTAATTAATATTTTTTTTATTTTTTTCTATTTAGTTATCACACACTCATGATATAGATCCCAAGTTTGATGGGTTAACTTGGTTTGGTGGGTTAAACCAATTAATTTATTTTTTTCTTTTTCTTAACTAGTTTTTTTCTTCTAATTTCATCTTTTAATATTAATTTGATTAAGAATTAAAATTTATGATTTGTTTTGTTTACTTTTCATCAAATTATTATGATCTCATGAGGAGATGTTGTTATGCCCCTCCTCGCAAAGCATTATTTATTGAAATAGTTAGTTGCTTTATTATGTTTTTCTTTTTAATTAATATTTTTTGTTTAATTTCATTATATAATATTAATTTTTTTTCTATTTTTTTATTACATTTTAAGGTTTTTGGGTCTAGTGTTGTAGCCAAACTCATTTAAAATTTAGTCATGCAATTTTAATATTATTAATATAATTAGTATTATAAATATTACTCTTGGTGAAGCATTGCAGCCATACCCAATATTCTTGGGTATAGGTTTGCAAAAAAACCTAAAACTCTTAAATTTTAGCTTTTTTGTAATTTTTTTATACAAAAATAAGTGACTCGCAGTGTAGCGCGGGCCAAGCATTTAGTATTTAAGTATCATGTGTACTGTGATATGTCACGATGGAGTCTAGTTGTAATATTAGACCCAACAATAATATTTGTAATATTAATAATAATATTTAATTAATTTATTTAAATTTTTATATATTTTATTTAAAAAAAAAATAATAGTTTTTCTTTTATAGTAATAATAATATTTTTTAAATTTATTAGCGATGATGGTGATGATGATAATGATAATAATACAAATAATAATATTTTAAATATTAATGCTATTGATTATAATAAAAAATAATACTATTTTTTAAATTAATACTTTTAATTATAGAAAAATAAGAATATTTATAATACAAATAATAATATTTAGAAACCTATAAACCAAGAACTTGGGTCTTGACACCGAATCCAAGAAAATTGGATCCTAACACACGATCCATTACTCTTAGAATCTTGATGCGAGACCCATTAGTATTGAGTCCCGATGCCAGACCTAAGAAAATTGAGTCCAAACACCTGACCTATTAGCCTTGAGTCTTGAAGCTGGACCCAAGACCTATTAGCCTTGGGTTCTGACACCGAAACTGTGATAATTGGATCTCAACATCAAACTCAAGAGAATTAGATCCTGACATTGGACCTATTACAAATAGGTTTGGATGCAAGACCCATTAATTTTGGGTCTAACAATGGATCCAAGATGGGTCCTGACACGAAACCATTAGCCTTGTTCCAAACACAAAGGCATTACCTATATGTCTAGATATGAGACCTAATAACCTTGGCTCCGCACACTAGGATTGTGAGAATTAGATCCCAACGTTGAATTTAAGAGAATTTAGTCATGATGTTAGATCCCCTGTCAATGAGTCCGGATACAGGGTCAAATAGATTTGGGTCTAGACGCAGTACTCAAGAGAATTGGGTTAGGATGTAGGACCTAAGATAATTGGATGCTACACAAGATTTGTTAGCCTTAGGTCCTAACACTGGACCTAAGAGAATTGGGCAATATCACAGATTCATTAGCCTTGGTTCGCACATGAATGCATTGCATTGGAGTTTTGACATTGGACCAGCAACCTTAGGTTTGGACGACGAACCCTAGAGCCTTGAGTTTTGCGTCCTTGCGACACCCAAGTAACTTGGGTTTGACGTCTCTTTCTAGCCCTCCTTTTTTTGGGTCTGAAAGGGGATCCTTGACCCAAATTAATAATAATAATAATAATAATAATAATAATTGATTTTACCTTAAAATTAAATCTATATATTTTTTTATAGTAGTAATATTTATTTTAATTTTAATAATTTTAATTAATTTAATAATATTTATAATATTAATAATAATATTAACTTCTCTGCCTAAATTCTTGCATTTTTTAATCTTTTTTAAAAAAATTATGATTTTTCTTCAATATTAATAATAATATATCTCATTTTTTTTTAAAAAAAAAACAACCACACCCTCCCCTACAGTGTTTAGAACTCTATATAGCTATCCGGCGACCACCATGACAATTTAGTCTGAGATTCTGAATAACATTTATAATAAGAATATGAAAGTCTTGTTTTTTTTTTTTTTTGTTAATTTCCGTCAACAATATTCACCAATTATCGTCCATATGTAGCATTATTATATTAGATATTGTAAATTAAAGCATACACAGACTATTAAAAAGTATTAAATATCTTAAATAGTGAGAATATATACCAATTGAAATTGGACGGATGAAGCATCCATGAGATATCATGTACATTTATGAAAGCATTTCTTATAAAATACCTCCAATTATTCTAAAAATGTTATGTATTTACTTATTTTGGATTCGTCTGATGAATTTTGGGTATATATCATGAAAAATAAAATATAGGTCCAGCAGTACGGACATGAGGTTCTTTAAAAGTCTCAAGAGTAAAATTCCACACTTGAACTTCGAAATTAAATCCCAAAGCAAAAGAAAAGAGACCAGGAATTAAGGCAATGGTAACGGCCAGATATTCAACTATGCAATATGGATTTGGATGATTATCAAACTGGCATACCCTCCGAGCTCAAATCCCCACCGTATTATTGACTAAACTGGTTGATATGGAAAGGATTTAGATGATATTCAACTATTCAATATTTTTGTTTTGGATTAAAACCATATTTTTTGAAAAATGTATTTTATAGGTCCAAGAAAATGAATAATTTTTCAATATATTCAAATAAAAAATATTATTTTAATATATTTTCAAATATAAAATATGTTATACAATAACCATCATATTTCATGCAAGTGATTGCTATATGCAACCCAAAAAATTTATAACTTAAGTTTGGATGTAATTTGTTAAATATTTACAATTATTTACAGTGGGATAGCTAGAAAATAAAATAAAATAAAAGCAGTCAAATTATGAAAATTATTCTAGAGGGGTAAAATCTCATTATTTTTTTTCTACCTTTTAGTTTAGAATTATAAATATATTGTTAATAGGGCTAGATTTGTTTTTTTTTTTTTTTACTTGGCTCTTAAATCATGGGGCAACACTAAGAAACATAAATTTAATGATTTTTTCGAACCCAAAAACAAAATTTAATGATTCTTTGAAGACTATTAATTTTTTTCATATTAAACTAGGTTTATTTTTGAATTATTCATATTCAAATGTGTGTATTCTGTCAATTTGGAACCCGAGATTCATCTTTTAAGATCAGACTGAGTGTAAAATAAATCAATTTAAAATAGATGTGATTTAATTTAATTGATCTAATAGGTTAACAAATAAAATTTAAATTGATTTTTTTCTCAAAACAATAGCTAATTCACTCAATCAATTTCCCTGTACTGGATTAACCCTAATAACTATTCGAATAAGACTAAATTTCTAAGAATAAAATATTAAAATATTAGTTAAATAGAAAAATAACTTTTTTAATTTCTTTTTTATAACATAATTAAATGTTAGAAAATATTTTTCAATTTAGTTTTCATGATATTACTAAATATTAAAAAAAATTATTTATTTAAAAAATCATTTTCCAATAAAAAACTATTTTCTAAAAATAAATAATTTTACAGCAAACAAAGTGACTAATTCACTCAATCAATTACCTTGGCTGGATGAACCCTAACATCTATTCGAATCAGACTAACTTCCTAAGAATAAAATATTAGTTAGATAACCATTTGGGCAAGCTCGGTAGGTAAACAACCTCTCGAGCACGTCCAGCTTTTGGATTGGAAATCTTAAGGCATCATTACTTGCCCTACAGGTAGAGGTCTGTCTCCCTGCAATTTTAGCAATAAAATCACTTTGCTACAAAGTCTTGAGTTCTTTTTTTTTTTTTTCTTTAACGATAAAATTAAGGTAGGTAGACAACCTTGGAGCATTTTTGGTATTAATTGTTGTAGTTGTGGTTTTTAAAAAAATATTTTTAGATAAAATTAAATTAAAAAAATATATATTTGGTTAAAATTGTTGTTGAAATTAAGGTTAAATAAAAAATAATTTAATGTGTTTGGTTAAGAATGTTTTTGAAATTGAGATTATAAAATAATTTAAATATATATATATATATTAATATTAATAATTTTTAATTTAAATATTGTAGATTTAACTATTGCTATTATATCATGAAATAAATCATATTTTATATTAATTTTTTTTATTATTTTATTAAACTATTTACAATTTTATTACGTATAAAATATATCCCACAAGAACTAAAAAATTAAGTAAAATATTATCAGGAATAAAATTAAGATTATAATATTAATAAATTTAATTCATTTTAAATTATTTTCTTTAAAAAATTATTATTTATATTTACATGAACAGTATAAATAAAATCAATTAATTACACTAAATTTTTTTAAAAAATAACTGTTCATGTGAACAGTACGACAATGAAATATAATCCCAGTGAATCACTGAACAATAAAACTATACCCCACTTATCATTAGAAATCTTCATGAGAAATATGGCTGTAAAGTTAGTGGATCCTATCATAAAAATTCACATTTTTTCTTTACTAAACATTGATATGTATCATTACGAGTGAGGTTCACCCACAGTTAAATTATCAAACAGCC